CTTGCTCATGTTCCAGTGCCTTGCTCTTGTCCCAGTGACTTTCTCTTGTTCCAGTGCCTTGCTCTTGTACCAGTGACTTGCTCTTGTACCAGTGCCATGCTCTTGTGCCAGTGATTTGTTCTTGTTCCAGTGCCTTGCTTTTGTACCAGTGTCATGCTCTTGTACCAGTGCCTTGCTCTTTTACCAGTGACTTGCTCTTGTACCAGTGACTTGCTATTGTACCAGTGACTTGCTCTTGTTCCAGTGCTTTGCTCTTGTACCAGTGACTTGCTCTTATACCAGTGCCTTGCTCTTGTACCAGTGACTTGCTCTTGTACCAGTGCCTTGCTCTTGTACCAGTGACTTGCTCTTGTACCAGTGACTTGCTCTTGTACAAGTGACTTGCACTTGCACCAGTGCCATGCTCTTGTCCCAGTGACTTGCTCTTGTTCCAGTGCCTTGCTCTTGTCCAAGTGACTTGCTCTTGTTCCAGTGCCTTGCTCTTGTACCAGTGACTTGCTCTTGTACTAGTGACTTGCTCTTCTTCCAGTGCCTTGCTCTTGTACCAGTGCCTTGCTCTTGCACCAGTGACTTGCTCTTGTACCAGTGACTTGCTCTTGTACCAGTGCCATGCTCTTGTCCCAGTGACTTGCTCTTGTTCCAGTGCCTTTCTCTTGTACCAGTGCCATACTCTTGTACCAGTGCCTTGCTCTTGTACCAGTGCCTTGCTCTTGTTCCAGTGCCTTGCTCTTGTCCCAGTGACTTGCTCTTGTACCAGTGCCATACTCTTGTACCAATGCCTTGCTCTTGTTCCAGTGCCTTGCTCTTGTTCCAGTGCCTTGCTCTTGTCCCAGTGCCTTGCTCTTGTCCCAGTGCTTTGCTCTTGTCCCAGTGACTTGCTCTTGTACCAGAGCCTTTCTCTTGTTCCAGTGACTTGCTCTTGTTCCAGTGCCTTGCTCTTGTCCCAGTGCCTTGCTCTTAACCCAGTGCCTTGCTCTTGTCCCAGTGCCTTGCTCTTGTCCCAGTGACTTGCTCTTGTCCCAGTGCCTTGCTCTTGTCCCAGTGACTTGCTCTTGTTCCAGTGCCTTGCTCTTGTCCCAGTGACTTGCTCTTGTCCCAGTGCCTTGCTCTTGTTCCAGTGACTTTCTCTTGTCCCAGTTCCTTGCTCTTGTTCCAGTGCCTTGCTCTTGTTCCAGTGCCTTGCTCTTGTCAAAGTGCCTTGCTCTTGTTCCAGTGCCTTGCTCTTGTCACAGTGCCTTGCTCTTGTCCAAGTGCCTTGCTCTTGTCCCAGTGACTTGCTCTTGTCCCAGTGCCTTGCTCTTCTTCCATTGACTTGCTCTTGTCCCAGTTCCTTGCTCATGTTCCAGTGCCTTGCTCTTGTTCCAGTGCCTTGCTCTTGTTCCAGTGCCTTGCTCTTGTTCCAGTGCCTTGCTCTTGTCCCAGTGCCTTGCTCTTGTCCCAGTGACTTTCTCTTGTTCCAGTGCCTTACTCTTGTCCCAGTGCCTTGCTCTTGTCCCAGTGCCATGCTCTTGTTCCAGTGACTTGCTCTTGTCCCAGTGACTTGCTCTTGTCCCAGTGACTTGCTCTTGACCCAGTGACTTGCTCTTGTCCCAATGCCTTGCTCTTATCCCAGTGCCTTGCTCTTGTCCCAGTGACTTGCTCTTGTTCCAGTGCCTTGCTCTTCTCCCAGTGACTTGCTCTTTTCCCAGTGACTTGCTCTTGTCCCAGTGCCTTGCTCTTGTCCCAGTGACTTGCTCTTGTTCCAGTGCCTTGCTCTTGTCCCAGTGACTTGCTCTTGTCCCAGTGCCTTGCTCTTCTTCCATTGACTTGCTCTTGTCCCAGTTCCTTGCTCATGTTCCAGTGCCTTGCTCATGTTCCAGTGCCTTGCTCTTGTTCCAGTGCCTTGCTCTTGTTCCAGTGCCTTGCTCTTGTCCCAGTGCCTTGCTCTTGTCCCAGTGACTTTCTCTTTTTCCAGTGCCTTGCTCTTGTCCCAGTGACTTGCTCTTGTTCCAGTGCCTTGCTCTTGTCCCAGTGCCTTGCTCTTTTCCCAGTGCATTGCTCTTGTCCCATTGCCTTGCTCTTGTTCCAGTGCCTTGCTCTTGTCCCAGTGCCTTGCTCTTGTTCCAGTGACTTGCTCTTGTCCCAGTGCCTTGCTCTTGTCACAGTGCCTTGCTCTTGTCCAAGTGCCTTGCTCTTGTCCCAGTGACTTGCTCTTGTCCCAGTGCCTTGCTCTTGTTCCAGTGTCTTGCTCTTGTCCCAGTGCCTTGCTCTTGTTCCAGTGCCTTGCTCTTGTTCCAGTGCCTTGCTCTTGTTCCAGTGCCTTGCTCTTGTCCCAGTGCCTGGCTCTTGTTCCAGGGCCTTGCTCTTGTCTCAGTACCTTCCTCTTTTCCCAGTGCCTTCCTCTTGTCCCAGTGACTTGCTCTTGCCCCAGTGACTTGCTCTTGTCCCAGTGACTTGCTCTTGTTCCAGTGCCTTACTCTTGTCCCAGTGGCTTGCTCTTGTCCCAGTGATTTGCCCTTGTTCCAGTGCCTTACTCTTGTCCCAGTGGCTTGCTCTTGTCCCACTCTTCGTCGGTACTGACTACGCTTGTCAGACGATACAACGGTGACGTGTCAGGGAAGAAGCATGAGTACGTCTGTGTCCAGGTGTACTGGGTTGACAGCCCAACATAACGGTGACGTGTCTGGGAGGAAGCATGAGTACGTCTGTGCTAAGGTGTACTGCGTTGACAGCCCAACATAACGGTGACGTGTCAGAGAGGAAGTATTAGTACGTCTGTGTTCTGGTGTACTGAGATGACAGTCCAACATAACGGTAATGTTTCAAGGGAGGAACCATGCATACGTGTGTGCACTGGTGTACTTGGCTGACAGTCCAACATAACGGTGAGGAGTCAGGGAAGAAACATGAGGAAATGTGCCCTAGTGTACTGGGCTGACAGTCCAACATAACGGTGACGTGTCAAGATAGGAAGCATGAGTAAGTCTGTGCACTGGTGTACTTGGCTGACAGTCCGATTAACGGTGATGTGTCAGGGAGTAAGCATGAGTACGCCTGTGTCCTGGTGTATTGGGCTGACAGTCCAGCACAACGGTGACGTGTTAGGAAGGAGTCATGTGTAGGTCTGTGTACTGGGCAGACAGTAAAACATTCCTTTGATGTGTCAATGGAGTAACCGAGTTCGTATGTGTAATGGAGCACTGTGCTGACACTCAGTCTTAACGGAGACGTGTCAAGGGAGGAAGCATGTGTACGTGTGTGTACTGGTGTACTGGGTTGACAGTCCAACATAACGGTGACGTGTCAAGGGAGGAAGGATCTGTACGTGTGAGAACTGGGAAACTGGGCTGACAGTCCAGCATAACGGTGACGAATCAGGGAGGAAGCATGAGTACGTCTTTGTCCTGGTGTATTGGGCTGACAGTCCAACATTACCGTGACGTGTCAGAGAGTAAGCGTGAGAAGGTGTGTGTACTGGTGTACTGTGCTGATAGGTCAACATAACGGTGAACTGTCAGGGAGGAAATATGAGTACGTTTTTTTAATGATGTACTTTGCTGACATTCCATCATTACGGTGACGTGTAAGGGAGGAAGCAAGAGGACTTATGTGTACTGGAATATTGGGCTGAGAGTCCAACATAACGGTGACGAGTCAAGGGAGGAACCATGCATACGTGTGTGCACTAGTGTACTTGGCTGACAGTCCAACATAATGGTGAGGTGTCATGGAAGAAACATAAGAAAATCTGTGCACTGGTGTACTGGGCTGACAGTCCAACATAACGGTGACGTGTCAGGGAGTAAACTTGAGTGGGTGTGTGTACTGGTGTATTGATTTAGAAAGACACGTAAGCAAACACTATAACATATTTATTAGAAAACGTTTCGGTCCTGGGACCTTGATCACTTAGAAGTGATCAAGGTCCCAGGACCGAAACGTTTTCTAATAAATATGTTATAGTGTTTGCTTACGTGTCTTTCTAAACCAACTTGTCGGTATTTATTACCAAGGTTTATACTGGTGTATTGGGCTGACAGTCCAACATAACGGTGAACTGTCAGTGAGGATGTATGAGTACGTTTTTGTACTGGTGTTCTTCGCTGACAGTCCATCATAACGGTGACATGTAAGGGAGGAAGTAAGAGTACGTGTGTGTACTGGAATATTGGGCTGACAGTCCAACATAACGATGACGTGTCAGTGGGGAAGTGTACGAATACTGGTGTACTGGGCTGACAGTACAGCATAACGGTGACGTGTCAGAGAGGAAGCATGAGTACGTGTGTGTACTGGCCTGATAGTCCAGCATAACGATGACGTGTCAGTTAATGACAAGGAACTGGTGGATAAGGTAGTGTTGTAAATAAATATCTGGTGGATGTGAATGTGGTTAAGATGACGGTGAGGTTCCCAGTGTTGTGGGGGCACAGGTGGCTTCTCCGGGTTATTATCACGATTCTTTGTCCCGCCTCAAGCGACCGGTGTTATAGATTCCTGTCAGCTTAAGCCCTGTCATACCTACTCTTCAAATTATGTATATAGTTTTCGTATACTTCTCATTCAGCTGATTCACTTACTACCAGTCAGGCAATGAAGTAATATTTTTCACGTCTTTCTTAAAATTTGTCTCTGTCATGTCAGAGTCCTTGAGGATCTCGTACATCGTACTCATCTCTCTCCCGGTTCATCTCTATTTTAAGGATGTTAGACTCACTCGCTTCATTGTCTCCTTATTGATCAATCAAGTCAACTTCAGAATATTATATTAGTGACAATGTTCTCTGTTAGAAGGCTAAGTTGTAAGATTTCATCACATTATGTCAACATAACAAATCTAAAGCTAAAGTCACGTTACTTCTACAAGTGAACCACGAATGGGAAACTTAAGCTTGATGTTCCCCTCCCTTTCATGGTAGGAAATAGTCAACGTCACCGAGTAATAAATTCTCGCTTATATTTTGTCTTTCCTCTGTTACTTACTTGCTGAAGAGGTTATATAAATACGTTAGGCAGCTTAC